TGATTTACTGAAATTTACTCGGATCCGAAGCTTTTCGAACTGTCGCGCATAAAAAGCCAGATATAGAATCGCACTACTTTGTTATTCAAATATCGAGCGAAGCATTTGAAATTTAATAAAGCCCGAGCGGCCGAATTCATTTTGGATATCGAAGAGTCGTGAAATTATATCGCACAGATTCATAATGAGTTTCACAAGCTCAAAAATAACACGCGACACCATAACTTGTTCAATTCTTATTTATTTTATAATACCAATTAATTGATATAAAATGTAGAAGATATAAATTAAAAAAAGTTACAAGAAAAATATCTTTCTAATTAAAGTTTTTTGAGTTTACAAAATATTAACACTTTGCTAAAACATAAGTAAAGTTAAAACGTAAGTAAAGAAAAAAATTGTTATTTACATAAATTCTTTCAAAGTTACAATTTGGAAGTTATTTATATATAATGTATTATATTATTTTCTTAAATTTTCTTATCATAGAATCAAAGACACATTTGAAACACATTGTGAAAGAATTTACATTGAAGAATTATTAGAAAAAAAGTCTTTCTATATATATATATATATATATATATATATATATATATATCAATTTTTTATTTAAACTCTTATTACAATTTTCATTCAAGCTAAAAAACGTAAAATGCTATAAACTGCTATAAACATCCATTGAAGGATATTGGAAGAATCTGAGCTAAGCGTTATTTAGTGGCGAAAGAAAGAAGTTCTCATCACTTTGAGCGTGATTTTTAAGTGCCGTCACTTACGTAGGTGCAATTTGATTAGCCGCGTCTATGCGCGAAGTTTTCATTAATCGCGATCCCTTTATCGGAGCAATAGCTATCGATCTCGTTGCGTTACAAGCACTAAGTTTTCTCGAAAAGTCGTTTACATTCGGCGGAAGTCTGACATTTTATTAGCTAAATTGCGCACGACAACTCGAGACCTGTTGCTTTAATGTCGCCCCATTTTTTTAAGTAGGAAAGGAAATCAAATGTCTTCACGTACTTTTAACTAATCTGTTCCGATTGGCGCTCCCTGTGACAAATAAGATATTATCTACTTTATTTTTTTATAGCTTCTATTTTTATTTTCACTTCCTACACATCCCTCTTACACTTTATTTTACTTTACTCTTTCACTCCATTTTCCAACTTTATTTTATTTCAATTTGTAATATTTCATTATCGTTGATATATGCATTTTTTAATCAGATACTATAAATACGTACTACATGTACACTATTTATTTTCTGACATTGTATATTTTTTTAATTAATAATAAAATTTAAATAAATTCAATCAATTTGTATTGCAATTATATACATGTTTACTTTGAACAGCTACAATATAATATGAAGAAAATTATTTACATATTACATATATAATCATACAGCTTCAATATTTAATCATTACAAAATACTCTGGAAAAAAATACGAAAAATATTTTCACAGAACTTGTAACTTATTTATCTGTGATAAGAGCTAAATACATATATAAAAATTATACAATACAACCTGTCTAGATGCACGATTTTCATGCTGACAGCTACTCTTGCAGCATGAAGTGAGTAAAACTGGATAGCATCGCGAGAAAACGGTAATAATTATTAAATCTCTTGCAGTCTTTTTAAAAGTGAATAAAAGAGCATAAAGAGCATAAATAAAACACGCTTTAAAAACTTGAACTCCAAACTATACATTCTGTAGAATGTAATACAAATATATAAGGCTACAATCATAATTTCCGATTTTTATCCATTGAAAGGGGAAATAACTGAATTACTGTCGATCTTTTCTCGGGATTCATTCCTTCTCTCTCTCTCTCGGAAAAATTAGCGTAAAATATCACGAATGTAATTTGCGTCATTCTATCTAAAGAATCGATTATTAAAGCGCTGCGTATTATTATTAAAAAATTAACTTAATTATCCATTCAAGTCTTGAAAAACTGTAACGTTAGAAACGTTTATTATTTTAAACAATTTTTATCTTAATTTACTAATTAATAGATTACAATTGATTAAGTTTTAATTAGAATAATCATACGTTTTATGGTAAATTTGAATAAATACGCAAGATAAATATTTATTGACCATAGGAATACAACCGCGATTAGTCAAACACTATTAGTGTAATAATAAATAATTGTTGCAGCAAATTTTAAAATTATCAGAACAATAAATAAATATTCAGTATTAATAATTGAAGTCAGAAATTTTAATCGACCAACATTTATAGCAAAAGATCAAAATAAATAGATTTCCTTTATAATGAGAAAGTTATTCGATATTAATGTACAATTTCGATAAATTTTAATAAAATTACAAATTACAAATAAAAGCAAGGAAATCAAATTGACAATTATTAAATTGCGAAATTTAATCAATCCATTTTGTTAACAAATATAAAAATAATCCCGTGATCTTACTGCGCATTGCTTATACTTCCACATTTTAACATTTATGCTTCCAACTTTTGAATACCTCAATAGATGACAAGCTTGTCGTGCACGCAAAACGTGCTCACAACGAAAAAGAAAACTTACGCAGGAAGTAACCGCAAAAGCTTTAATTACACGGTAATGTTGTTGGCAAATAAAAAAAAAACCAATAACCAATGGAAGCGATAATCTTCAATTTAACAAGAGGATGATAAGCTATTAATTGAGTACACATTGCAGAAAAACCGATTGCATCTTCTCTATTTTTGAGTGCTCCAATCCGTGATTATTCGACGGGCTCACGGCGAATCACGACGGAATATCACTATCATTTGAGATTGCCTTAGAGACGTCAATAGTCATTGTGAAGCGGCGTCACTTTCCATGCGTTATCGCTAATAAGTTACATCCGTATCTCCCGTTCTCTCCCATCGGTCCCGATGTCGAACGTGTTAACCCGCACCTCGCTTTAGTGCGAGCGCGATGCACTTCAACCCTAATGCACTTTCGCGGATCAAACCACTTAGGACGTGGTGTCTCGGCTTCTTACGATCGGGATCGAAAAGTGCAGGCTGGATGCAATTTTGAAAATTAAATTTTCCATGAAATTTTCGGGCCACGGTACACAAAAGCTGTACGATAAACATCTTTCGATGTTTATTCATGAACATGTAATTTTTATCCAAATTTGTAACATAATTAACGTGTTTGTATCTCACCTCTTTCACCATTAATAATAAATACAATTATCAATTACGATTATCATTATTGTACTTTATTTTGTATGTTATGTGTTATATATTTTCATGGTCTTTCTGATTAAATCCTTTTCTGTAATTTCTCAGTTAATTTGCAGAATACTGGTGTACTTTCATGAAATACTGTTAAATATCACGGATATACATTTAAGATAAGCATAAGTATAACATATGGCGATACGTATGTTTGGATTTACCAGTAACACATGTTACATGCAGGTCATGCAAGAGAGTTACGTTTATTTTTATACATGGAATATTGCGATATGCGAACTTTCTTAGGTATAAATAGATCAAGCACTCTTCCGCGCGTCGCAATATTGCGCCACGGCTTTAGTGCATCAACTTTATTATTCATGCCCTATATTAATGTATCGTTATCAACTTTCCGCATAAACTCGGCTGGAAGGTATACTTTCTCTTCATTTCTGGGAAACAGGAAATCGGTTTCCAGTTTTGCTCGTAAAATTCTACACTCACGATAACCGCTTTAATTACGCTAATTACAAAGTGCCAGTTGATGCAAACGAATTTCGCTTAGAGAGAGAGAGAGAGAGAGAGAGAGAGAGAGAGAGAGAGAGAGAGAGAGAGAGAGAGAGAGAGAGAGAGAGAGAGAGAGAGAGAGAGAG